GAATTAATTTGGGAGGATTTGGAGGGGTTGATTCGACACATATCACAGAGTGAAAAGATTTTTATTGGAGGAGACTTTAATGGGCATGTCGGGAGGGAAGCTAGTCATATGCGAGGGTGCATAGTGGTTTTGGTTTTGGAGAGCTAAACAATGAAGGACAAACTCTTCTTGATTTCTCATTGGCGTATGATTTTAAGATTGCCAACACTTGTTTCAAGAAGAGAGATGAGCATCTTATCACTTACAAAAGTGAAGCCTCAAGGTCACAGATTGATTTTCTTTTAGTTAGGAACACAGATAGAAGACTTTGTAAAAATTGCAAGGTGATCCCCGGAGATGCTGTAACGACACAACATAGGGTCCTAGTCCTTGATGTGTGTATTATGAGTAAAATCCAAAAACGTCGACAAGTAGTAGCACTAAGGATTAGGTGGTGGCAATTAAAAGGTGAGAAGCAAGATATTTTCAAGCAAAATCTTTTGGATAAAGGAATTTGAGAATCTCAGGGAAGTGCTAACATCATGTGGGAGGATATGGCTAAAAAGATACGGGAGGTTGCAAAAGTAGTTTTGGGAGAATCAAAAGGTTCTGGTCCGAGAGATAAGGAGTCTTGGTGGTGGAATAATAGTGTACAGGACAAAATCAAGTATAACAAGAACTATTTTAAAGCCATACATTTGTGTAATAATAAGGAAAATTGGGAGAGGTACCGTATGGCTAAGAAGGAAACTAAGAGAGCTGTGGGTGAAGCTCGTTCTAAAGCTTTTGAAGAATTTTATAAGAGCCTTGAGATGAAGAAAGGAGAGTGAAATATTTATAAGATTGTCAAGAGTAGGGAAAGAAAATTAAGAGATCTAGAACAGGTAAGGTGTATTAAGGATGAAGAGGGAAGAACTTTAGTTACAGATGATGAAATTAAAAATAGATGGGAGACCTACTTTTCTAAACTTTTCAATAATGGAGAGGCCGTTCATCTAATAACTTGAAGGATTTAGTAACTAGTGAAGGAGAACAAAATTTGTCATTCTATCGAATAATACGTGATAAGGAGGTAAAGGAAGCTCTTAAGAAAATGGCAAATGGTAGAGCCAACAACCTGATTGTATATCTATCGAAGCGTGGAAATGTTTAGGTGAAGAAGGGTGAGATGGTTAACTAAGTTATTTAATGTGATTTTACGGTTCAAGAAAATGCCTGATGAGTGGAGGAGAAGTACATTAATTCCTATTTATAAAAATAAATGAGATATTCAAAATTGTACTAACTATAGAGGGATTAAACTCATGAGCCACACAATGAAATTGTGAGAGAAAGTAATTGAGCACAAGTTGAGATTGGAGACAAGTATTTTTGAGAATCAGTTTGGTTTTATGCCAGGTAGATCAACTACAGAGGTGATTTATCTACTGAGGAGATTAATAGAAAAGTATCGTTGTAAAGATAAAGATCTACACATGGTTTTTATTGATTTGGAAAAAGCTTATGACCGTATACCCAGAGAAGTGCTTTAAAAAGCGTTAGAAAAAAAGGGAGTATGGATTGCTTATATTAAAGCCATACAAGATATGTATGAGGGGGTAAAAACTAGAATAAGAACGCCTAGTGGTTAAACAAAGGATTTTCCTATAAAGATTGGACTACATCAGGGATCATCTCTGAGTTCTTATTTGCTCAACTTGATCTTAAATGTTTTGACGGAACATATTCAAGGGGAAATTCCGATGTGTATGCTCTTCGCGGATGATATAGTTCTTATAATAGAGACACGAGAAGAGGTTAATTGCAAACTTGAGTTATTAAGGAGGACATTGGAGTCAAAAGGTTTTCGTCTGAGTAGAAGTAAGACGGAATATTTATATTGTAAATTTGGTAAAGAACTATTCGACAATAATTTGAAAGTGAAATTAGGAGATCAAATTATACCTTAAGTGGAAAAGTTTAGATATTTGAGAGCCATTATTCAAAATGATGGCGAAATCAGTGGAGATATTTCACATAGAATTCAAGCTGGGTGGTTTAATTAGAGAAAAGCTAAAGGAGTTATTTGCGACCGTAAGGTGCCTAATAAACTTAAAGGAAAGTTTTATCACATTGCTATCAGACCGGCAATGTTATATAGTAGTGAATGTTGGGCTCTAACAGGACAGCAAGAGTATAAAGTTGGAGTAGCAGAGATGAGAATGTTACGATGGATGTGTGAACATACACGTAAAGATAAAATTCGAAATGAGCACGTATGCGAAAAAGTGAGGGTGGCACCTATTGAGGAAAAATGGTAGAAAATCAGTTGAGATGGTTTGGATATGTACAAAGAAGACCAAGGGAGGCACCAGTGAGAAGAGTGAAACATATAACTTTGAGTCCGATTAAGAGAGGTAGAGGAAGGCCTAAGAGAACACTCTTGAAAGTTATGGAACGCGATCTCTTAATTAATAATATTCCTAAAAGCTTGATAAATGATAGAGTACAATGGCGTCTTGCAATCCATGTAGCCGACCTCACCTAGTGGGATAAAGGCTTGTTGTTGTTGTTGTTGTTGTTGTTGTTGTTGTTGTTGTTGACTTTGTATATTATCTCTTACTATTTTTGCACTACTTCAAAAAAAAAAAAAAGATATCTAGGTATATCTAGATTATCTTTGCCTATCCAGATTATCCAGTTTATATTTTAGGATTAGGTTTAGCGTTTGAATTTTTTTTTATTCAACTAGGATTCTATAAATACCCCTATATGTAGGATTTTTTTTTATTGTAAGAACCTTTGATTGATTGAATAAAAAACTTGGTTATTTCTTTTTATGCCCTCCTCTTCTTCAATTTTGTTTGGATATAAATAATATTTCTCCGAATTTCGTATATGCAAGTATTACATAATTCTTAAATTTCATCCTTGCAGGAATAAAGAGAACAACATAAGAAAAATCGTTACAGGAGTATGGGTAAGATTATACGGCATAATTGCTCTTAGTATTATGTTATATATTTTAACGCGCAGTTTTGTTGACCATAGGAAAGGAACGCAAGAGAGAGGTTAGAGTTTTGTTGGCTTATATTTGTACTTCATCATTGCTGTATATTATATTTGTACCAAAAAAAAAAAATAGTGAACAGCGGCTGCTGTTTGATTTCTATTTTGAAAAACTATTTTCTGTTTTATAAAATAAAAAAATTTCATTTGAATAAGTGTTTTGAATTTAAACATTTTTATCAAAAAATTATTTTTTATTTTTTTAAACAAAAAATAGAAAGTTTTTCTTTTTGTCTAAAAACACATTATATTTGACCCTGGGAAAACTGTAGTCAACTATGATCATAAGTCAATGCCATTAATAACTAGCAGCAACCACCATCGATTGATTTGTTTTAATTTTAAATTGTTTTTCTTTTGTATTTTTTAAAAAACAATTTTAAAAAAGTGATTTACAAAATGATTTTAAAAAATAAAAAATGGAACAAAATCAAACAACTCCTTGATCTCTCATTCAATAATAGTAACCTAGGGTCAACGCAAATGGGACAAACTTGGTTCCCGTGCATGTACTGTGTTCATTATTTATCTTAATTTTTTTATATCAATTTTGAACTATCACATTCACTTCCCATCTCAAGATATAGCTTTGAATCAAATCTTTCAAGTAAGACTTGAACACATGATTCCTTGCCTTAGAATCTTTCTTTTTCCCCTTGTACTTGTCTAATTTTGGAGACTAATCCAATCAAATGATATACCCCAACTTCAAAGAGATAGTCAAGTGTCTATTATTATTTTTTAAATAATTTTACTGCAGCTTAATTGGTGGCAAATCCAACTAAGTTTTTTTTTTTAAATTTTTTTTAAGATATGGCTTTCGAAGTTCAACACTAAAATGAACATGAACGGACAGTTAAAAATAAAATAATTCTCCTATTTTGCCCAATTAATTTCGCACATCGATCAGTTATAAACTACATATTCGAACAATTCAGCGGCAGATCAGTCAAATACCATTTGTACTTCGAAAGTTGAAACATGAAGAAGTTATCAAGGGTGTGGGACATCCTCAAGCCATAAATTTTCTGTTTGACATTGACCTCTCTGGTAAGGTAATGTCTTTTTTTTTTTTTTTAAAAAAAAGTAGACAACGAATTTTTGTACTTGCAAGTTGCAACATACTCTCTTCTTCATCAATTATGTCAATAACTATAAGGGGTGCCATGATATTTTTGCCCCTAATAATGTCAATAAATATCATGGTGATAGTAGGATGTTAATGCAACAATGGGATTTCTCAATTTATCCACAGAGGATTATTCTTTTCTCTTCTCATAAAAACCATGTTTCACTTTAATTTTTGTTGAAATTTTTTCATCAACCATATAGTAGCATTGAAATGAATTTTTTCATCCCGTTATATAAGTATATGTGCTTTAACTTAGCAACAATACATTAGTTACATGTGTTTTACTACCATTTCATGAATATTGTATGATTAGTTCATTATATTTCAAAATTTTATGAAAATGCAAGAAAAATTAATTATACATTTAGATGTAGTATGTGGCATAAATGTTATTAATATATAATTAGTTAATGCTCCCTATACAATACACCGAGTAGTGAAAGCTATATATATATATATATATATATATATATAACTTTCCTTCAATTATTATATATGCTTTGTAATCTTGAACACCTTCAGTGTTTACCAAATATTAGATTTCATATAGATGAATAAATAAATCATATTTTTCTAAAGAAAAGAAAATAAGTGACTTTATGCTGTTAAATTCTTATATTGTTAGAAAATTTGTCGCCTGGATCAAAAAATCAAGAAGGCAATGTTAATCTATCAAACTCTTTTTCATAAATATAAGAGATATTATGATATTTTTTCCCCTATTAATGTCAATTAATATCATGGTCATAATAGGTAAAACACACAATAAATATATGTTCCCTTTTTTATGACAATATATTCAAACGATAACCCACTCAATTATGGACTTTCAGAGTTTGTCATGGATTTCAGCTATGCTCGTTTTAAAGATGTTAGAATGGTGCAAACGAACCTAGATTGCACAAAATTTTTGGTAAGTAAAGTTCTCAAAATACTTAGAACCTGTTTGATTATTTGTTTTTAGAATAGTTTTGTTTTGAAAAACAAAAAAAAAACATGTTTCTAAATATGTTTTTTGCTATCTATTTTGAAAAATAAAAAATTATTGTGAAAAATATAAAAACTAGAATATTTTGTTGATATTTTGTTATTTTTTGCTCTGCAGAATAAGAGAAAATTAAAGGCAAAAAACATAATTATTTAATTAATGACAATTATGTTAACAAAATAATAATTCTTTTTTTTTTTTAAAATAATTCTTTCACCCGTTATGTCACCAATTTAGATGTTTTTTAATATAATGATTTAAACATACTTTTTCATTTTATTGTTTCCAAAACTTGTTCTAAAAAATTACGCTGCATAATTGTTTTAAGAACATAAAAAAAGAAAATAGAATCAAACGAGCTCTTATTCTCCTCATATCTATTGTTACTTGATGTTATCACACACACACAGATATATATTAAGAAGTATCTTTTTTTACAGTTTAAGAATTAACTACCATATCAAGTTTATTTGTCAGGATGTTAATGTTGAAGAATGCATTTTTGACCGTTCAAATTTTCCTCGGTAAGTCACTCAGATCATACTTCAAAATTTTCATCACGTTCAAATTTTCTAGTCTCTTACGCTATCCATCTTGCTCTTGCCTGTGTAAAGATGTCAATTTAATCGAGCCACTTTCCATAGAGTTTCACTGAATAATGCAGCTCTTCAGAACTCAAAATTAGAAGGCACGTTAAACTCTAGATTATAGTTTTTACATCTTCCGAAACACACATGTGACAGTGAGAACTTTATTGATGCTAAGAATTATTCCTTTGCATTAATGCAGATGCTTGTTTGATAGAATGTTCCTTAGTTGGAGCAGTCCTGACTTCTGCAATTCTCAAGGTTCACCACCAGATCATTAATTGTATATACTTGATTAAATTTTTATTAATGAAAAGTGAAATCTAATAATCACATGATCTAAAGGACAATCATCATGAAATAGAAAAGCAAGAGAGGGTTAATTTCTCATCATTCGCCACCTCTTGGAGAAAAGGTGGAGATTGATCAAAGATTATTTAGTTCTTTAGATACAGGATATTATAAGAATATATACTAGATAATGTCAATGTATGGATGACACATGGAGTCGAGATTCCCTTTTGAAAATGTTGATCCCTTCAGCACAATCAGAGAAAACTTCAACCTTTTGAAACCCTCTTTCCCAACAAATCTTTAATCCTCTAGCAATGCCAAGTATTTCAACTATATATAGCAGGCGGATATTGGGACAATTTATTGTAAAAGTAGTTGCCAAGCATGCATTGCAATTCCTGTTGGTTGTCCACCCACTCAGCAGGATCATTTTTTAGGGTCTCAATTCTATTTCTTCCCATCCTCAGTTATTATTTGTTATATTCTTTCCAGAGCGCCCTATTAAGTTGTTGCAAATACTGGTTGTCTCTATGTTTTCTAGAATTATCAATACATGCGTCTAGCATCTTGAGTAAACTCCATTTCTTGTAAGCAATATAACTACGACATTTTTGCCCTTTAGGAATATTTAAAAAATGTAGTAAAAAATATGAAAATTGTTATTCATACTTTGCCTAAAGTAGCGAAACTAAAAGTCTATAGCAATAGTTTGTTCGTTTGACCCAAAAAAAAAAAATAGCTATAGTTTGTTCGCTCTATGGTGGCATTTCATTAAAATTGTTGCCTAAACTATAAGAATATGGTATAGTTATTATCTGACTATAAACAATAGCTTTGAAATGTTTCATATCACATAAAATAGTTAACATTTAAGAATTGTTTTAAAATCATTATATACCCAAAATTTAATGTTTCTTTCCCCATCTAAGATTTGAACCTTGAACCTATTGAAAGGAAGGGTGATTTAACCACTCCTCCAACTTGGAGATTGTTGTTTATTCTACTTTAAGAAACAATTTTCAAATGTAGCCAAATATTTGTTGCTTAAAGTAGTAATCAATAGCAACATATGAAAATTGTTGCTTACGCCCATGTTAGGAAAGCACTATTAAAATTGATGTAAAGAAAATTGTTGCCTAGAGCCAAAAAAAAAATGTTGCAGTGAACATTCCGAAACCTATTTATACGCCAAACCAGAGCTTCATTCGCAAAGTTATTAACATTGTCATTCCAGTTATAGGATCTCTTAGAAAATCATATTCAAGGGGCCAAGGAGCTTAACATTTGAACACTCTCATTTCAGGGGTAGGGGCAGTACTGGAAAAATCTCTAAGAAAAAGCGACCAATGATCAGAACAATGCCAAATTAAATAGAAAACTTTAAAGTTTGGGAAAGCAGAAGGCCAACTGCTATTAGAAAAAAACCCAATTAATCTTTTCCATAACATGATTTTTTTCCCATGTGAACCAGTCACCCACAGAATCAACCTCAACCAAATGAGCCTTATGAATACCCAATTCTAAAAGGGCTACAATCACTTAAACATGATGTACTCGGTATGAATGGATTAATGTCAACTAAATACTTAAAATAAAACTTAGAATGATTTCATCCATGAAAGATATAAGTTTTTGCTAATATGTTATTATTATACCTTCATCTGCTTAGAATGCAGTTATTAGTGATGTCAATTTAGAAGGAGCCATCCTGAAAGGAGCTAATTTAGAGGTAAACTATTATTGCTTTAAAATATTTGAATGATGAAAAATTTCTTGTGTCCTATAGACTTAATTAGTTTGATGGAGTCCCAGGGTGCAAAGTTGTACAATCCTAACTTGAAGGCTGCAAATCTTGAAGGAGCCAATCTTCCATATGTTAACCTTGCAGGCGTAGTAAGTTGATTAGGTAATAATTAATGAAAGAGGAAGAATATTAGAGACTTGCTTATACATTCCTAGTGATGACATTGATTATGTGGAATTTCAGGATTTACTAGATGTCAATTTCAACTTTGCATGTCTTGAAAATGCCTCATATTTACGTGCAAACCTTTTATGTGGAAAGTTCCGGGTAATTATTCTTGAATCGTAGTTGCTACATGTGACCTTTTCATATTCTACTTGTGAAATGTGTGTGTGTGTGTCTAATATCGATACTTTAGTTCGATACAACATTACATACAAGTTTCCTTTATTCTCATATTATTTAACCTAAAACCTACCGTATTTGATAGCATGTTAATGCCAAGGGCTCCATCTTTGACTTTGCAAATTTGCGTCGGTAAGTTGCTTGCAGACACTTGTTTTATAATTACACTATTGCCTCAGGCTTCGGATATGATAATCAACTTGCTTTATTTGATCATGGAGAGATGTGAATTTAAGAAGACAAATCTACATGGAGCTTCATTAAAATTTTCCATCCTTGAGCGTGCAAATATAAATGGTATGATGATGTATGTTTTCCGTGATTTTGTCTATGAAATATAAGTGACAAATATATATGGTGGACTTAGCTTGGATTGCATAGGCTCTACTCATGGTCATATAAACTTCTTTCTGGGCTCTGTTTGGAATGGAAAGAAAATAGGGAGGAGGGAAAATTAGAAGAGAATACTATAGAAAACAAATATTTCCCCCTAATTTTTCCCTAGAGAGAGGGAAAACTAAAACTTTATGCCAGGAATGAAAAATATATTTTTCTTCTATTTTGTTCCCCGGTTTTATTTCCTTATTTTTTCCCATTCTAAATAGGAGGGTAATCCTTGATCATTAGCTGAACAAAATATGTCTCTTCGCTTCCAACGTGAAGAGTGGCAAAGCATGAACTCTTGCCCTTTGTGACTAAATAATCAAACTGATCAAACCTCTGCGGCATAGCGCATAAAAGTCACTTGAAATGGTGAATTTACTAAAGCAATGATATATCATATATAACTGTAAGGGAACATGGAGCGACCATTCAAAAACAAAAGAAGAGAAGGGCAATGAGTAGTGTCATATTCGACATTGCATCTTTACTCAATTTCTTAAAAGCTTGAGTTTATGGATTTTTTAACTTTATCATATGTTACTAATTATGAAGCTTAAGTTTTCTATAATGTGAGACTTCCAACTAAAATTGCCTCTTCATAAGTATTGGATGAAATCAAGCTTTGATATCATTTTCTAACAAGTGGAAGCTAGGAGGAAAAAAAAGGGAAAATGATAATTAAGGACCTTCTAAGAACATTAGTCCCAATTACGAACTGTAAAATTTTGAAATTTCAGTTAAGAATCTTGGTCCTGAATTGTGATAAAAAAATATAGTTTGTGAGGTAAAATTCACTATTATCACTTGGGAATTCACTAACCTAACTTGAGAAAATTTGTAACGTATATTGTGAAAACATGAAACCCCACTTGAAAATCAATTGTTTAATAAAAAGCGCTACTTGAGAATTCACTAACTCAACTTAAAAAAATTTCAAACATATATTGTGAAAACATGAAACTCCACTTGAGAATCGATTGTTTAATAAAAAACACTAATTTGGACGAGTCACTTTTTATTAAACAATTAATTTTCAAGTATAGTTTTATTTTTTCACAATATACGTTAAAAATTTTTTCAAGTCTAGTTAGTGAATTCTCAAATGGCACTTTTTGTTAAACATTCCATTCCCAAATGGGGTTTCATGTTTTCACAATATACATTAGTGATTTTCTCAAGTTGGGTTAGTGAATTCTCAAGTTGCATTAGTGAATCCCACCTCATAAATTACATTTTTTTTATCACAATTAAGAATCATGGTCCTTAACTAGAATTTTAAAATTTCACGGTTCATAATTGGGATTAATGTTCTTAGGAGGTCCTTAATTGTCATTCTCTCAAAAACAAAAACAAAAAAACAAAAAGACTATGAGTTAGTAGTGGAATGACATTGCATCTCAATTCAAAACTTGCTCGAGTTCATAAATCCTTTCACTTTATCATGCACTACTTATTAAACCCAATTTGATTCAATGTAAAATTTTCCACATTGTCAACTTAAGTCCATTCGACTTAGACATCCTAACAATAACTACATAGTATATCGTCCCTTGTATTGTTTGTATTGATTAAATAAAGGTTAGTGGAAAAGTCTAAATCTTGTTTAAACTTAAAAATTTTACAGATGCTTGTTTGAAAGATTGTACGCTGATCGGAGGCAACCTGAGATTTGCACCTTTTCAGGTTAAACATGGCATGAGTTATGAGTAATGTCGTTCTTCAGAAAACTTTATTGTGTAAATATTATAGATGGATCCCTGTGGATGATATTGTTTCCTGGTTAATTTCACCATCGGTTATCTTTTTATGTACTAATTATTAGTTGTAACAAAAAATCATATCTCCCTTGAAACGCTTGAGGTTTGCATTATCCATTTTTTAATTAGTATCTTCATCACAGAATGCAGATATTACAAATGCCAATCTAGAGGAAGCTGACCTACGAGGAGCTAATTTAGAGGTAAGAGATATTCTGGAACTCACTGTGTACATTTACAATAGTGAGGCATTACCTAGAGAGTGTGTAGATAGTATGGAAATTGAATGGAAGAACATTGAAGCAGGAGGCACACAATTTTTTATCTTTTCTAGTATCTCTTTCACTGTTACGGTCACTTTTCCTTTTCATTGTTTTCACTCTCCTGGTTTGTTTCTGGGAAACTTTAAACTATAATTTTTTTTATCACTTTTTAATGTAAATTGATCCTTTTATATCAAAAAATGTATAAAATTAATTATTCATTCATTAATTGAAAGCCAACTGAGCCTAACAAAAACAAGAATTTTCTCACATAAATTTAAAAAGACGTATCATGGAACTCAAATGGATAATACATTGTCGCAGAATTTTGTCACGGCTTACTGTTCCGTGAGATAATTTGACATTACATCATAAAAAAGGTCCATGAAATTATTTATATGAGAATGTTGTCATGAAGTAAAATCACAGAAAAAAAATGAGAAACTTTTTCCCAATGAAGTATATTCTATCTAGTACATCTCCTATGAGCAAATTGATGAGAATTTTCCTTTCCTTTCCTTTTTTAATAGATTTTGAAACTTTTTCTAATAGATTTTTTTCAAGAGAGAATCACCAATGTTTTGGTATATTGCAATGAACTTAACCTACAAAACAGCAATGAGAGATTTTTTTTGCCAATCAAAGAACAGCAATGAGAGATAAGAGCAGAAGAGCCCCAACTTATAGAGAGATCTATTTGGTTTAGTTGTTCCCTGGCCTCAAAATTTACTCAATGGATTTTTCCCCAATAAATAAAATATAATAATAATAGAGTTTACTCAAAATATTTTTTCCAAGCTTGCCATCAATGCATTAGGTCTTCAGGTAACCTAAAAATCTCACAAAAACTCATCCTAGCCTTAGAGTTTTCTATATAAGCACACCCAGAAGAGGCTGCAGAGAAATTCTTCATTATTTTCTTTATCATGCTTGGGTGAAACTTTGGGAACTAAAATGTATTGTCAAAACTTTTATTGTATTTAGTTTTTATTTTGCTGTTTGTTTTAATAACTGGACTTTTGTAATGTATTTTAGGGTGCAAAGTTGGACAATGCTAAGATGATGGATGCAAAATTAAATTAATGAGCTTTGCTATAGGACAGTAAGCATTTTAGGTTTATTTGAGACTAATCATGGTGCTGAAATTGTATTTTTCGAAATTCCAATGCCTTACAAAAAAAAAAGAATAATAATAACAACACCAGATAACTTCCACATTAAAATCTAACTTTTTGAAGGGGCAATATTTGATCTTCTGGTTGCCTATATACATCTCTGATTTCCATTAGGCTTTTAAATCAATGGTTATTTTATTTTTTAATAAGAGCCAACACAAATAATTTACATAAATTAATTTCCCTTTATAAGTTGGAACTTTTTTGATTTAATATAGTATGATATAAAAAGATAGCATATAAATGTTCCTTTTTTTTTGGTAAAGTGTTTCACTTTGCAATAAAAAGTCGGTACTAATTTATCCAATAAGAAAGAAGTTTTTATGATTTTTTTTTTCAAATAACCTTGTATTACCATGATCTAAGTTTTTTTTTTTTTTGGCTAACGATTAATGATCTGCGGACAGATTGCGCTTGTGAAGAACCAAAAGTGAGATCCAACGTTGATGGAATAAATACATCAGATGAGGCATTGGGTCCCTTAATCAAGAGCACTAATTAGAGACTTGAATCACTCTCATATGTGTCTTTTTAGAAGTAGTTATGAATTTTTAAATTAAAGTTAGCCCTACATTTTGACTTTTGAAATTGCCAAATTAATAGTAACGAAGAAGGTATTTCTAGTGAGTGAAGTTTGAAGGTTTTTTATGCTCTTATAAGGACTCCATTATTGTGCCTTCGAAGACATAGAAAAGTATTGCTTAAGTAAAATGTGGATGTTTTGGGCCTTCTAATAATCTTGATATAACTTATAATTGTTTCTAAATCCAGCACTATCAATTTCCCACATGTTTGAAATAAAAATTGAATATTTGCTTAAAATCATTTAAATGTCTCTAAATCCATTAAATTAATTTATCATTATAACATTAAGTTATTTTTTTTAAGTTTCTTTTATTTATTATTATTTATGTTTGCTATAACGAACAGTGTTTTAGTGTAATGACAAAATATTATGTGTTTTAATGTAATGAAACGTGTTTTACAACATCACTTCTTAATGAAAACAAATTTGTCTCAAATAAGAATATATTGTTATTTTCTTCAGTTAAACTTGTTATATTAATACTTTATTGTAAGTAGAATAATGCTTTTAACTGTTTGAATGTGTTTTATTTTGTATTAAATTATAACACAAATCAAAATGATTGAAAAACAAATAATTTATATTTTCAATTTCATAGTATTTTTATTTTGAACATTTTTATTGTTTTTTGGCCAAAAAATTTTTGAACATTTTTATTCACTATTGCGAATATTTTCAATTTTTTGTCACTAGCTTTATTAAATTAAAAAAATAGATGCATTAAAACATTGTTCATTAAGGATGGATTGAAATCTATCTCCATTGGAGACTAATGGTGAATTTTCTTGGCAAATTATTTAACTTTTTTTAGGAAAATGTTTTTAAAGCAATAGGGACGAAATTATAGACAAATATAAAATAAATATATATAATATATAACGGAGTTCAAAATTGTCTCAAAAACTATTTGCATAGTAGTTAAGATGTATTTTAGTTAATTGAGACTAAATGCTGTTAGATTTTTTTTAATAATGACAAAACTACGAGAAGCATTTTGTACCAAATGTAATTCAAAGGGGAAAAAGTTTTAAGATTTTAATATCATAGAATACAAGATTTTTTTAATTGTAAGTACTTACAGAGTTCTTGGTGAGATTCAATTTAAAAAAATGCAATATAATTATATTCATGAGCATAAAATACTTGAAAAGTCCCATCTATATATCTATAAAATAAAAACCTCCCAAGCTACAGCTTCCAAACGGCTCATCTCAGCCAACAGTGATGGCTCATTTAATGTTTTCCAGCTTGACATTAGACTTGCTGCCTTTAACAAACTAACATGGACTAAGCATTGGGCTCCGTTAAAAATTCTGGTCAAATGCTTTAGTCTAATTATTTATCTCTCTCCCCCTCAAGTTTTTCAAATTTGAAAATTTAAAATCCTTTGGTTTTCTCACTTTCTCTCACCTGACCCCTCAAATTCAATTTTTTTTTCCTTCTTTTTTTTTTTCTCTTACTCTCATGACTCGTCCCCCTTTTTTTCTTCTTTCTTTTTTTCCCTTTTTATTTTTTCTCCCTCTCCCGTGTCCTCTTACCTTTCTTTCTTCCTTGCCTTCCTTTCTCCCATGTCCCCTCCGTCTTGCTTCTTTCCATTTCCTTTTCTATTTCCACCTCCCGTGCCCTCTCATTCTTTCCTCTTCTTTCTTTTCTTCATCCGATCTTTCCTTTCATCCTTCGTTGGTTTCATTCTTAGCTTCACTTCCCCCGTTAGTTATGGCCTCATTTTTTACTATATCAACCCTGCTCTTTCGGTTGCCGCACCGCCGCTCTCTCTTTTCTTCGTGTCCGTCAGCCATATTATTGTGAGCTGATGGATCTTCTGGTGAGTAGATGCCCTCCATTATTTCCTCAATCTGAAAAGAAACGAAGTTCTTTGGGCCACCTTTGATGCACAAATCAACCAAAAGAGTTAGATTAAGGAGAAGACGTCTTTACCGTATGGAGTATATGGAGTGTCGTCAAATCTGGTCATATGCCTGGGTTGTCATCAAATTCGCTCGCGTTGCTCTCCATTTCTTGCTTCACTATTCCTCGCTTCTTTCATTAGATTAAGGAGAAGATGTCTTCACCGTCGACCAGCTTCGGGTGACTCCACTTCTACTCTAAGTGATGTTGGCTTCTAGGTTCTTCAACTTTGATGAGATCACTTTACATTGTCACTTATCCATTTTTGTTATTCCTTTTAAAAATTTAAATTTTGTTTTTGGTTTTCAGATTCTCTTGCTCTTTTGCGATTGGTCACCATGACGGAGCGGCATCATCTTTGGCAATTATCTCATCGCAGGTTTCTTCTTCATTTTACATAGTTTATCTCAACATTTGTATTCGTATTAAGTTCTCTATTTTTCAATTTTCATTTTTGCACTATTGCTTGAATTAAGGTAACCCCTTGAGTTTTTGATGTTTAAAATGATTGAAACTTTGCCTTGAAATCATGCTTCCTTGGATGTATTGTGAACTTCTCTAAAAAGCCATTCATCTTTGTTCTACTACTGCTAGATTCTAGACTTCAATGGCGACCAAGAACCCTCAGCGTTGTTGTTCTTGCATTTTTTTTATTGGTAACAGTTGTCTGTCGCGGCCAAAGTATTTTCATAAAAAAATTAAAAAATTAAAAAAAATTATGCAATTACTTTTAAGGGTGATAGTTCGTGGCCACCAAAAGTATTTTCATAAAAATTAATTAAAAAATTTAAAATAATTTACATAATTTCACCACTAAAAGTATTTTCATAAAAAAAATAATTAAAAAATTAAAAATAATTTATGTAATATTACTTTTAGCAGTAACAGGTTGTCGCCGCTAAAAGTATTTTCATAAAAAAATTAAAAAAATATTTTTTATAAAAATTAATTTACATAATTATTTTTAGCAGCAAAATTTGTTACCACAAAAAGTATTTATATATAGAATGAGAAGTAAATTATATATAAGATCAATAATTATTACCTTTAAAAATAATGATCTTGTTAAGCTAGTATTTTAATAATAATCTTATTTTCATAATTACATTTTACAAAATTTCTTATGGATTATTTTTTAATAACAATCTTACTAAGCTAGTATATATAATCAAGCTAAGTTATATAAAAATTATAAATAAATTATTTTTTATATTTTTTTATGAATTATTTTAAAAAAATTTCTTTAAATTATAATTAAGCTAAGTTATACATAAATACTTACTTACACACACACACACACACAAATAGTATTAGAATGTTAAAGTTGTATAGATGTTGAAAGATGCAAATGACATTGTAGACTAGTTGACACATTGCGCGCTTAATGTTTGGCTTGGTATATACATAGTGTCTACTCTATCTGCTGAGCTTTACTTTTTTACTATCACAAGATTATTTAAATAAAAAATTCCATATTTAATGATTATTTAAAATAAAAAACAAATAAAATAAGTGGAGAATGCTTAAGGGTTTTTAACTATCAAGTAAAGTTAGTTGTAATATATGTTGCACTGTTACTTGATCATTAAAAATTGTCAACTATTAATAAAAATAAGTGTCAAGTATGGGGATATTTTGTGGTAGTGTTTCTTCATCCAGTTCTTGTTCTTTGAATTACTCAAATTGTTTAATTTGTTAATGTTAAATTGTTGGGATTATTATTGGATGAGAATTGTAACTTTGATTGTTTAATTTATGTTAATATTTGAATTATGATGAAATTATGTAAATTATGTACAAATAAAGTTATTAAAGTTTATCTTATTTTAAACTTTTGAAAGTAAAGTTATTAGAAAGTATTTTCTATTATCTTGAAATTGACCCTATTAAAGAAACTTTAATGAAAGTCCAAACTAAAAATTTTATTGAAATATTTTTTAAGATAATTGAAAAATTATAGATAAAATTTATTTTTAATAAAAGAAGGGAAGCATTTAACTTGAAAAAAGATAAACGTTTAATCATTTATTTATTAATTTTTTGAGAAAAATATGGAAAAAGTTAAAAGATATATATTTAATGTAAACTGATATAATACATACTTATATATAAATTATATACTTAATTATTTTCATTTAAAAATAAAAATAAAATTAAAAATTGGTTAAAATGTTTATAAGAAAATTATTTAATATTTAAAAATTATTTCATTTTAAGTTCATTTTCCTAACAAAAATAATATTTGCTACAACAAAAATAATTTTATTAAAAAATATAACACACACACACTCATATAAATTATTTTATCATATTAATAAATGGAAATATAATATAATATATATGTATACATTTCTAATAATATATTATTTGACATATGTATATGTAGTTAAATAAAATATATTTAATTTTACATATAATAACTGTAGGTACATTTTAGTTCAACTGACAAAAAATGAGGACTTAAGGCTTGGGATAAAGGCCATAGGCTCAAATCCTAACTTGAGCATATTTCACAATGAATATGTGACGTGGCACAAGTTGTTAGGTGATGTGGTATGACGTGACACACACATGGCAAGGTGACTTGGCATGTGCTGTGGTATGAGGAGGTGCACATGTAATAGGTGATGTGGGTGTCAGTTGACATGGGAGGAGATGGCTTTTTTTTTTAAATGACAAAGTCATCGCCAAAAGTCACCGCTAAAAGTTTTTAGACTACTTTTCACTATCAAATGGTCGCTACTAAGAGTTTGGTGACTGATGGTTAGCAAGAAACATAGTCGCCACCAAAAGTATACCTTTAATGGCAACAAAGGTAAACTTAACTTTTAGCAATGAAATACCTTGCTAAAGGTATACTTTTGGTGGTGATAATGTTTGTCACTACCAAACAATTATTAGTGATCAGATTTTTAGTAGCAATCTTTTGACAGTGAAAAGTCACTGATAAAAATCTTTGATGATGACTTTTAGACTTTTGGCAGTGACTTTCATTTTTTTTATATAGTGAAATGGTGTACAATCTTATAGAATTACAAAGCAACACAACGACAACTATTGCGAACAACAAGAAGGAACAAAGACATTAGAGCATTCACAATGCTACTTTAATTTACTTCTGAGGTGCATTTTAGTTTATTCGTATTATTTTTAATTACAAGAAAGACACTGTAAAAAATATCTTTTGGCGGGATTAAGTGAACTTATAATGGTAACAGAAGAACACTAAGTAGTGGCTAAAAGTTTGTATGGTCCTTTTAGTGGCAAAAACATGTCACCACCGTAACGACATTATTTTTTGTCTTGACCTTTAGTGTTGCTAACAAAAGTTTTATCATTAATGGTGATGGTCAATTTGGCAAAGCTGCTTAAGGTCAATTTTTGACTATGACAATAATTATTGCTGCCAAAACTTTTTAGCCACACAAGTTGTGGCAGCAAACATTTGTTGTCGCTGAAGACCTGTAAAGGAAAATTTTTGGCAGCTCCACCAAAAACCTTCCTTTTTTTCCCCTTGTAATGGAACCTTTGGCTCTTTAATGAGATTTTAATTATTCAAGATTATTAACCTTTAAAATTTTATGTCATTTTAATATATTTTTCTTGGAATTTTCCTTCTCATGCAATGCAAGTATATAAATTGTTTCTTGTCAGATGCTAGGAAATTGAAGAAGAAAATGATGATTTATCAAAGATTTTTTTATTACTTTTTTGTCCAGATTTTCCACAAAAATTGCAGTTATGGAGAGGAAAAAAGTGCAGAATATACTTGTCTCCCTCATTGCTCGCCTGATTGCGTGCAAGGAATGGGACATTATGATTGCCACTTGTGCCTTAATTAGTATTCCCGTGCATTACGGGATCTAGTAATCTAGTTTTTCTTTTTTTAAATAAAGACACGCCACACCGGACGTAATCTGACAATGTTGACACTTCTTTTTGACATTTTCGACTTTGTCCTTTCCATGGTCACACTTATTATAAAAGTTAACTTTAATTATTAAATAATTAAAAATAATAATTTTAAAATTTATAAAAATTGTCAAAAAATTATAAAAATAATTCAAAAGTTATAGATAAAGATTCAAAAAATGATAGAAAATAACAAAAACTTTTTGGCTGTTTTCTATAATTTTTTAGGTCTATTTTTTTGTTATTTTCTTATCAACTAATGGTCAATATTAACTTTTATAAATGATAAAGGCCAGTTTGCATCATTTTCAAAAGTTAAGAGAACAATTTATACAAAAAATGAGATTGGACTTAAAGTTGATGAAGTAATTTACTCATTTACTCTAATACTTATTCAAAAATTAATTTTAATAATAGCCATCTGAAATTAAATTTTGGTACATGAAAGAAAAATAAGTACCCGTAGGTAGATGTGTTAAAATCGAAAGTGCTTGGTTAATTAAGGATCTAATATGTTGGTTAAAAAAAAACTATGGATCTAATATATTGCTTTTATCTTTTTTGGTGTTTATAACTTTTTATTGAATATTACTAGTGATGATTTCTAGAGTTGTCAATTAAGGTCAAGCCAAGGTTGGGCCACTATTTTGAGGTATAAAATGATAATTCAGATTTAAAAGGGTTAGCCCTTTTAAATCCAAAAATAAAAGGCCATCCCTTATATATATTTTAAATTTTAATATGAAAAAAATAATAAATACTACATACAACCATACACTAAAAGAAAGCCTCAGTCTCATTTGGTCATTCTCATTCCTTCTCCCTCATCCATTGATCGACCAATTGACCAAGCACACATCCGGCCATCCTTCTTTCCTTTGTCCCTCATCCACCAAGACTTAGTTGATGATGTTAGCAAAGTTTAATTGTTATCGAGATTGATTTTATGATGTTGCTATTTGTCATTACACTTAAAATTGTTGTTGAGTGAATTAATTTAAATTTATTTTTCTACACTTACAGTTATGTGTAATAATTTTTTTAAAATTTTTTAAAATTTTTAAATTGAAAAATGAAAAAAAAATAAGGCCACGACTCTTGAGGCTAGGCTGTGTAAAATGAAACTCTAAAGTATAATCGGGCTTAAAAAGTCTTATTTCTCTGATATTACATAAAGAAGTAAGTCACACTATACATCCACTATCAAATTTCTTTTTATAAAATATTTAAGTTACTTAAAAATTATTTATTTTTAATGTTGAACAAATTGATCCTAAATATAGAGAGAAGCAGAAACGAAACGAGCAATCGCAACAACCACCCTTTGTTGTCCCAAGTTAACTTATTATTTCATTAGTACATCTCTCAAAAGACAGCTTCCCTATAATTTACGGTCCAACTCAAAATATATTTTTTCCTCTTTTAAACTAGTTGTTCACCTCCTTCATTTTCCCAATTACGGTGATAACAAGATCAAAATGAAAAGAAATGGAAACTTATTCATTTATCAGCACTCTTTCTCAAAAATCAGTTTCCACCCACCTTCCAAGGCCTATTACTCATAGGTCTTGCACCGACTTTCGTTGACCCAAGTTAGATATATATGCAAGCTTTAATCATACTGAGAATCAGTCATTCTTCTACATTGCTCTTGCCTTCATTTTTCTGAGAATACTCACAAATTAAAGCCTTTCAATGTATGCTAGTGCTAATGCTGCACGTTCTTACTCTTCATTGAACTCGAAAACCCCCCCATGGAAGTATCATGTTTTCTTGAGTTTCAGAGGAGATGACACCCAAAAAGGCTTCACAGCCCATTTACACGCTGCTCTTCAACAAAGAGGTATCATAACTCTCATAGATGACGAGCTTCAGACAGGAGATGTTATTTCTATTCAACTCATTCGAGCAATTGAAGATTCTCTCATCTCTCTTGTTATTTTTTCCCAAAATTATGCTAATTCAAGTTGGTGTTTGGATGAACTCCAAAACATTCTGGAGTCTACAAGATCTTTAAATAGAGAAATTACCCCAGTGTTCTATAATATTGATCCATCTGATGTACGACATCAAAAAGGAGCCTTTGCTGATGCCTTTCAAAAACACAGTGAAAGATTTCATGATGATGAAGAGAAGGTGCAGAGATGGAGAGATGCCTTGAGAGAAGTTGCAAATATTTCTGGCCACCACTCTAAAGATCAGTAAGTTTCATTTGTTTCAGTTTATGAACTTTAATTTGAGATCTATATGAAACTCAAACGACAACAATACGAGTTAATTAGGAATAATTGCTTTAGTTGACCTTCAAATTTGATCATAAATTACATGAAATTCTTCTTGTTTCATAAAATCATCTACCTGAATTACGCATGCGCCTCATCCAACTTAATTACTATTTGTAGATAAATTTAATTTTCCCCGAAATAGTAGACTATACTTCAGTTAATGCTAAAATCTAATGAGTATGTGATTTTTATTTTACTTTTAATGTCAGAAAATTTTGTTTTTGACAAGAACGCGAACTGAGCATAAATTTAAATTCACTAAAAAACTAAATTTCAGTAATGAGTTTATATCTTTAAAAAATATTGTCAATTTATTTAAGGCTAAAGTGTACATTTAATCATTTAATTTTATATAAAGTTTTATTTTGGTGCCTTAATTTTATAAAGTATCTTTCCAATCCTTTAACCTTGATACTGTTAGTTTTATGAATAAGAACTTTTTATATTAAATTTTTAAATATTAACAAAACATTTTCAAATATTGACATATTATAATTAATTTCTTAAAAAAACAATAATTAACATGAAAATAATCATTTGAAACTAATAGTATTATGGTTAAAGGACAAAAGACATACTTTATAAAATTAAGGGACTAAATTAAAATTTTATATAAAATTAGAGGATCAAGGTACACTTTAGCCTTAATTTAATTAAGCCTCAACAGAGACAAGTATAATCAATTCTGTTTAATATAGCTGTGCGTAGTTTAATATATAAAACACAATCTAATATCCGGTAACTTTAAATAATTTTTTCTGTTCCAATCTCTTTGTGATGAAAAAATTTTGAGTGATTCTTTTCAAATTAAAGAATTAATAAATTTAATAAATGATTACATAAAAAATGAATAGTGTATAACGTACCACAAAAACTGCTAGCCTTCTAAATGGATAATTATTTTTGTTTTTGCCCAAAGATGTAAAACAATCTTAAACGAGAAATATTGTATATGCATGTTTGTCTCTCCTTAAAAGGGCTGTATTTATTAGCTGTATTTATTATTATTTTTGGTTTTGACAAAAGCATTAACTTTTTCTAATAAATCTTCTTAATAGGCTCGAAACAAAATTGATTGAAGAAATTGTCAGAGTTGTATGGACAAAACTACAGCCTCACATATCATATTGCTACAAAACTGAATTTGTTGGAGTGGAGTCAAGGATTGAAGAACCGAATGCAATTTTAAAGATCGGATTGAATGATGTTTGCTTTTTAGGAGTTTGGGGTATGGGCGGTTGGCTAGACATCTCTTGCAAGAGCTCTCTACGAGATAAACTGTAATCATTTTGATCTTCATTTCTTTTTTGCCAATGTTAGGGATGTTTGCAAAAAGGAAGGACCGGTTTGACTGCAAAGAAAATTTCTTTCACGTTATGGGAAGTTGAGAAGTATAGACTTTGATGATGCATATGAAGGGATGAAGATCATGAGAAACATTCTTTGCACTCAAAAAGTTTTGTTGGTACTTGATGATTTCAGTGAAATTAGTCAACTTAAAGACCTTGCAATGAAGCTAGCTTGGTTGGGTACGGGAAGTAGAGTAATAGTTACAACAAGGAATAGGCATGTACTGGTAGCACATGGAGAATTTGAAATATATGAGGCAAAATTATTGAACAATAAGCAATCTCTTCAACTCTTTTGCCAATGGGCTTTTAAAAGTGATAAACCAACTAAGGATTATTTGGATTTGTCTAGAAGTGTGGTTAAACACGCTGCAGGGCTTCCTTTGACACTTAAAGTGTTGGGTAGTCAACTTTGTGGGGCAAACATAGTAGAGTGGAAAGATACTTTGGAGAAAATAAAAAAAGTTCCACCAGGTGATGTTATAAATATACTTGGAGTAAGCTATGAAGCATTAGATGATATGGAAAAACAAATTTTCTTAGATATTGCATGTTTCTTCAAAGGACTGCGTAAAGATGAAGTGATACAAATATTAGAAATTTGTTATTTTCATCCAACAATTGGAATCAAAATACTTGTTGAGAAATGCTTGTTGATAATTGAAAGTCATAATGGACATGATATAGTGGGTATGCATGATATGTTGAAAAAAATAGGAGAAAATATTATTTTGGAGGAATCACTAAAAGATGTTGCCAGATGTAGTAGGATGTGGAAAACAGGGGACATTACTCATGTATTGACAAAAAATAAAGTAAGTTCCTACTATTCATGATACATTACTATTTTTAGATTTTGTGTTTTAGAATTCTTATTCATTAAGTTACTCTTGAATTAGAAATAATAGTATGATTATTGTTATTTGTTAGGGAATTGATTTAATTGAGGTCATATGTCTTCACCCCCTATGCAATATGAAGAAAGTTGGATTCCTGAATCATTCTCAATGATGTGCAATCTTAGAATACTAATTATCAGATCATGTGATGTGTTCCTCCCTAAGGGACTTGAATATTTTCCGAGCTCATTGAAAATTCTTGAATAGGAGAAATGTCCATTAAAATCCCCCCCACATGGTGTTCATGCACATGAACTTGTTCAGATAAAAAATGTATCACAGTAAAATCACAAAACTTTGGCATCAAACCCAGGTGTGAACCTTTTCTTTACCATATCAATCAACATTGTTATATATATATATATATATATATTTACACACATATATTTGCAAAATCTAATATTTTATATTCCTTATTTGAACTAGATGTCAAAAAAGATAAAGATCATTGATTTGAGCCATTAGGAAGATTTAATTCAAACTTCTGATTTTTCATTGCTACCAAATTTGGAGCAACTAGTTCTTAAAGGCTGCATGAAACTTGTTGAGGTGCATCCATCACTTGGACATCATAAGAAAATCATTTCAATGAATTTGGAAGGTTGTAAAAATCTTAAAGCTCTTCCTTCTAGGCTAGAAATGGATTTTGTAAAAGAATTGGTTCTCTCTGGTTGCTTCAATTGTAAAAAACTTCTTGAGTTTGGAGAAAACATCAAATACTTGTCAATACTAAAGTTGCAAGATTGCAAGAATCTATTCTGTCTTCCAGCACTGTTAGTAACTTGAAATCTCTCAAAACTCTTGATATATCTAGTTGCTCAAAATTTACATCATTGCTAGAAAATTTGAAAGAAATTGAGAGTGTAAAGGATCTTGATGTGAGTGAATCTTCTATAAAAGAAATACCATCATCCATTGTTGGTATAAAAAGCTTAAAGAAACTAAATGTAGAGGGATGCAATGGAATTGCACTACACTCTTCATGGAGCACACTTTCTCCAATTTTAAGGGTCCTTGGGTTCAATAATTATAAAGCTCCCATGAGACTGACATTGCCTCCTTCTATCTCTAGCTTATCCTCCTTGACAAAATTAAGGTTAAGAAATTGCAATCTAAGTGTTGGATCAATTCCAAATGACCTTGACTGCTTACCATCTTTGGAGATTCTTGATCTTAATATAAATGATTTTAGCAACCTACCTTTTGGAGGTTGTGTTCTTCCTCCTTCATTCTCAACCTTGTCCTGCTTGAGAAAGTTGAATTTGCAATATTTTAATCATTGTGACGGTTCAATTCTTGAAGATCTTAGTCCTTTGTCATCCTTAGAAGTTTTAATTCTACAAGGAAACAATTTTACTAACCTACCATTTGCTTTCATCTCTAATCTCCCAACTCTACAAGGTCTTTTGTTAGGTCATCGCAATAGGCTCTTATCACTACCAGTTGTTCCTCCCAATATTCAACATATTAGTGCACCTTATTGTCATTCCTCAATGAGAATCTTATCATCTCCTCAATTGCTATAGAGATATCTTTTATCATCTTATAATTATGATTTGGTACCAAATTATAAAAGTCCTTTCATTCTTGTTCCTGGAATTAAAATTCCACCATGGTTCCCTAATCAAGACTTTGATTTTCTTGACAACCAAAAAATCTGTGTCTCAATAAAAGTAGACACTTCTCATTTTTGTGGTTCAATTGAAAGCCACATAATTTTTTTTTTTTTTTGCTTTGTGATACAAGATATGGCGCTAGAAAGGCCTATGAACCCGAAAGGCATCTTCAGAGTTGATTATGAAAGTGTTAGTTGGTGGCTAGATGATTGGGAAGCCAATGACTCATCTATTTATTTCCATCATGCCGCCCTCTTATGTGAAGAATGCTTGCAATAACCAAGTTGAGATAAAAGTTCAAACAACTTGGAGATTGTCATTGCATGATGATGATCCTCATAGAATAAAAAAAAGTAGAGTTAATAAGGAAGTGTGGGTGGCGTGTAGCAAGAAAGGAAGAAATTGACGAGTGCATGCAACACCAAATGCCATGAAGATATGGCAGGAGATATTATCGGTAACTCAACATCTTCCTTTATCTTTTCTTTTATTTTCAAATTGAAATATTGTTCTCTATCTAGTTTAACTTATGCTAATTATAAAAATACTAGTTAGATACTCCCTCCATTTAAAAATATAAAGAATTTTTAATTGAATCTCACCCCCAATAAAGTATTTATTTATATTTAAATTAACCATATCTTTTCATATTTATCCCTACTTATATTTAAATTAATCATATCTTTTCATATTTATCCCTATTTAACAAAGTGTTTCACCCTAAAATGATATAAAGTAATATATTTAATATGGGCACTTTTGAAAAAAAAAATAATGATTACACCTTAAAAGATTCAAAATGTCTTACATCTTTTGATATCCAACCTCTTAAAAAATACCTTACATTTTTTAATGGATGGAGTATGTGTATAAATATTTAACCAGTGATGCATGGACCTAGAAAAGTTTATTAATGGGGCAACATTGATACCAAACATAAACATTAAAAGTTTTTTTAAAAATATTAATTCAATAAATATACAAATAAATTATATGAGAAATTTTAAAATATATATTAATTTCATTTCCATCATACATTTATTTTTATAATAAATAAAAGATAAACAATATTTTTAAATAACCAAAAGTGTACATTTGGACATTTAACTAGATATAAAGATTTATTTTGATCCCTTAATTTTATAAATTATTTTTCAATCATTTAACACTAACATTGTTAGTTTCAAATGATTATATTTTGTGTTAATTATTTTTATTTAAAAAATAAATTTAATATGTAACATTTGAGAATGTTTTATTAATGTTTAAAAGTTCAATATAAAAATTTTTCGTTAATGAAAGGTTAAAATTAAAGGATTGAAAAGAATTTTGTAAAATTAAGAGATTAAAATAAAATTTTGAATAAAGTTAAAGAACTAAAAATAAACTCTAACATTTTAAATGTGTACGTTTGATTAATTTTAAACAGCACTGTGAGACAATTTTTTGTGGTGACAACTTAAAAGGGGGCAAGTGTAATTTTAACATAAAAATAAGTGAAATTTTTACTTATTTAATGGAGACAGTTGCCCCTCTATTGTGAACGTAGGTACGTCCTTGTATTTAACAATACTTTTATTTACTTGTCCCTGAAGTCTGAAACCAACACAGTCAACACACAACATTTCATTAGTTTCGCACTACTTCAATTTGAAGATGCCATCTTTTTCTTTTTCTATTTTCATATAAATTAAGAAGATACTACTTTTGTAGTTGCTTCTTAATTTCTTTGAGTAAATATGCTATTAAATAATTTTGTATTTATAAATCACTACAAAAAATGTTATTTAGAGAGGCCCAATAATCTGCCTTCAACTAGTAAAAAATTCATCTCTAAACAAGTAGAGACAAACTTAGAGAAGAGAATCACGTGTCTCAAAAAAGCGCATCGTTAAATAATTAAAAATGAATTTTTTAAGCTGTCACTTATTTGAGGCGGATTTATTCTGTCTCTAAATAAAAAATGTTGTATCTAATTTTCATGAAACATCCATTACTATAAAATATTCTAAAAATTATATAAAATGATAGAGACAGAATAAAATAGTCTCTAAATCTATTTCTAAAAAAAATGAAAACTTAATTCCTTATGTTTCCATTGCCATGTCAGTGTAAATCAGCCAATGCCATGTCATGTCACTTGACATCTCATCGGCCACATGTACATCTGCACATGCCAACTGTCACGTCCCAAAAATTAGGCATGATTAGCACGGGATATATGCACAAACACATATCCTTAAGCCTTGATCAAGAAAAAATCTAATTTAACATTTTACTTCATTTGAAATAGGATTGAAAATCATAGTAACATTTTCCATATAAAAAATTTCTAAATTTTTTATGTAGAAATATTGGTAGAACTTCCTCTATAAGTAGGACCTCCTAAATCTCTACAACAATCATTTACAGATAAATTAATAATATGGAGCTTTGCTCATCGACAATAGACAATCGATATAAATTTGCAAATCGAAATCACATCTATAGTTAATGTGGAGCACCTAAATTATAATATCAAAATAAAGCACATAATTGAATATATACATCAAAAGAAAACGCGTGCTCAGAATAAATATTCACCCAGCTTAGTAACAAGCCTTTC